GGTTTCAGAGCAACTGGTCTAGTTGAATAAGGAACTGGGTAGTGTTTGTCAAACTCCGCAGAAGAGAGAGCAGATATTGCATCAGGCAGATATGAGAAAGGAGTGTAGGGCACAACAGAGCAGATTAATTCTCTAGGTAATCTTGCAGGGAAATAACCCCCACAGATATATCTAATCCTTTTGCTTTAATTCCATTTGCCAAGCAATTACCAGTTCAATATCTTAGGCACAGTACATTATATTTTTAAAGAGGTTTTAAAAAAATGCAATGGCGTATAACAGTCCACAGGTTATTGTCAACATCGACATTGGACCATGTAAGAGGAAACAGATGGAAAAACATTTGGAATGTAACAATGTGTTAAGATTAAATTTCTAGAATTACAGAAACACACACACACACACACACACACCATAGTTTCTTAAATAAAAAAGACTAAACCAAAATCCCACCACAACGTTTTCTACATTGAAAAGGGGAGTGAAAAATATACAGATTCATACTTATATAATCATGGTTTAGGAAAACCTGCCTATATGAAAAAGAAACCACACAGGAAAAGACAGATTTACCTACATCAAAATAAAAAACTTCTGTGTTTCAAAAAGAAAATGAAACAGAAAACATATGAGTAAAAGTAAAAGACAACAAATTGAAGCAGAAAATATTTACAATATAAACACCAATGGTTCAAGATCTTTAAATATGTAGGCTTTTGTAACTGAAACTATAAAATCAATACCCCAGTGGAAAAAATAAGGACAAAGGACATGAACATGTAATTCACACATATGCTCTAACTCCCTCCACACACAAAAGCTTAGCTCTTAAATATATGAAAAATATTTAATCTTGTCCACTGAATAGATGGGAATAAAAACAAGATAGCATTTCTTTTCTTTTTTTTTTTTTGGCAGGGGTTTGGGGATGCTACTGGGGATTGAACTCAGGGGCACTAAACTACTGAGCCACATCTCAGCCCTATTTTGTATTTTATTTAGAGACAGAATCTCACTGAGTTGCTTAGTGCCTCACTTTTGCTGAGGTTGGCTTTGACCTTGTGATCCTCCTGTCTCAGCTTCTTGAGCCAGTGGGATAATAGGCCTGTGCCACTGTGCTCAGCTAGCATTTATTTATATATCTGCTT